GCTGGGATCCGAAGGGTGAGTAGAGTTCAGTGGGAGGGGGCGGGGGGAGTGGAAAGGAGATGCACATTTCAAAAAAAGCCAGCTTATGAGAGTTCCTAGGGTTCAGGGAGAAGACCATTATGGCTAGACAGAGAGTTTGGGCGAGACTAATAAAGTTATAGGCAGGGTAGGCAAGGAAAGTAGGTTCAAAGAAAAAAGGAAAGTCCTCTTAATGCTAGTTGGGCTGGTGGTGGTTTCTAGTGAGTATAGAGAGAAGCTCTCTGCTTTGGTCAGAAACCAAGGAGTGGAGGGGGATGGGGGATGGGGAGGCATTAGATTTTTACTTTTCAAAATTAGGCTAACAGATGGATTTATTGAATGTCAGCTGTTTGCTATAAAATTCTAAGTTCAAATGTAGTAATACACTATTATGAAATACCAATGTACCATTGGTTTATCCACATCTAGTCACTTTCTCTATTTCATGGGCCTTAAGGAGTGATTTGCTAACACATTTCTTGTAACCTAGCGTAGTACCCGCCTAAAGTATGCACTGAAAAAATTGCTGGTAGATTAAGGCCAATTTAATCACAGTAATTACTATGCTGTAGACTATAACCTAACGAAGGCCTTATGTATATGATGGAAATCCAAGCAAGAGGATGGGGAGAAGACAAACAGGAATCATAACTAAATAATTTACGTATTAATCTCAAAAGCTGAATTGCGCAAGACCTGCAGAACAGATTTATTTTTAGCCACTGAAATTTTGGGATAATTCAGAGGCATTATCTTATGTTAAAGCACGAGACTTTATTAATGTGAGAATTTTGACTGTATGATCTACTTTCAAAAGATGCATCCTATGTGAGAAAAAACTTCAGCCATTGAAGGAGGAGATTCCACATGTTCACATGAATATTTTTGTACTATAAATTCTAGTATGAAGATTACTATTCTGACTTAATAAATTTATTTCTAGTATTAGTTGGATAGAAAATTTTCATTTTTCTTGTTTGCATTTAAAACAGCAGTTTTCAAACAAGCGTTCATATGAACCTGGAATTACATGAGACTGCAGAAGCACAAAGTCATGGATATTTCCAAGTGAATCAATTTCCAGATCGTCAGCTTCTATGTGGACTCTTTCCTAAAACTAATCTCCCAGAGAGAATAGCTGTGGTGGACCAGTTATCCTTCCCTGCTGTCTTTAACAATCATTGTATTCTATGTAAGAAAATCGTGCCTCTAACCCATCTCTAATCTCACCATAGTGTGTAACAGTGATATTTGAGACTGCATTGGCTCCTGAAGGAGGCTGCTATAAGAGCAAAGCAGAGAAAACGTTGATAAGAATTACTGATGCATGCTGCACCTTATTTCCATATCGTTTCAGCAACGAACTCATGCTTTTCTGTCTGTGTCTATCTCACAAGGAATTTGAATTTATAGGTAAAGAAGGATGAGATGTGATTTATTATGCTTATTAAAATAAACATGGAAGTCAGACATTTTCTGTTAGAAAGTAAGTCTGATTTGGTTGATTGGTTTGGCAGTGATGACAAGTTTTGCCAATTAGTTCTATGGCAGACATTTTCTATAAATTTAATAAATTAAATTTTCAGCTCCAAAGTTTTGACAGATACATGTTTAAAGCATGTATCAATATAAAATATGTTGGTAAATGCATCTCTTATAATTTAAACTTACAGCAAAAGTTTTAGAAGTTAATTTAAAAATATAAGAGGGGATACATAATTTCTCAAAAGCTCATGAATGTAAAATATTAGCTGATTGGAATAAGAGAATGTGGCAGCCCAGTGAGTGAAAAGGAATGTTTCAAACCTCTCGCTAGGAAAACGATTTAGCACTAATGAAATACTTTAAACATTAAGTAAATAGGTTTCCTGGAGAATGAATATTTTATATGTATATATTTCTTAGTTATTTGGAGGACAAAGGACGAATTCCTTGACGTTTTCATTGACACTCTGTGCTTCTTCTAGGGGAGTGTATCTTCTTCTAAGGGAGTGTAAGTTATCTTTCAGGCATTGAGAAACAAATAGGTCATTTTAATTTTTAAACAGTCTGGAGCCGGGATCAGAAGAATAGTGTTTTAACTCCAGATTTACTACTCAAAGGTGTATTTTTTCACTATAAAAGTAATATTTCTTGTAAATATTTTTGAAAATACCAAAGTGCACAAAGAACATAAAATCAGCAATGAATTGCCATTTCGATGTATGTCCCTCTATTTATTTTTCTAACATTGGAATCTTACTATTATACTTTGTAACTATTTCTAATATTATCAATACATCTTGATCATTTCTCCATCTCATTAAATGTTATTCTACATTATTTCTAATGATCGAATAGTATTTCATCAGAAGGAGGTACCATACTTAACTCTGTATTTCTGACTTAAACAAATACATCGATCCTTTTCAAAGGAAAACTAAATTTTCATGCTCCCTTCAAGATTGCTTTATTTTTATTATGTTATTACTCCTCTACGTAGAAATATAGTTAGGATTAATTCTTCATGATCCTAACTTGTGTGCAACTATAAAACCAACACAAATTTACTTTTAAGTTTGGATATTAAATCAGTATAATCAAAATGCCGTGCTGGTGTTTAATAGTAGGATGATAAATGTTTTATATTTCTTTCTTGGCATGGTTCATTTGATTTTGAGACTGATGGGTCATCATCTGAATCATCTTGATGATCATCACCATTATTTTTCCTTCTAATAATAAACTCATTTAAAACCAGAGATCTATTATTTTCATGGGTCAATCAGTTTAATAATACACCTCAAAATACAATAGCAACAAAAGTTTAAACACGTTTTTTAATGCTAAACTCATTCTTCTAAGATAGAAACATGGTTCCTCACAGTGTGAGTGTGACAGTGATAGTTTACTCCAAGTGATCATTCGATCCTCACGCAACTCTTCTCTAAACTGCCCTGTCTTCTCTACTCTTAGGGTACTATGTAGAGTTAGCCTTCAGTTGGCACTACTGATATGACTATAAACACAAATACAAACTTGAGCATTGAAATCATAGCTTAGCTGTTAGTTATAAGTGGGTCTATCAGATAGTTCAGAATATCTTTATATTGACATTTTTTAAGATTACCGTCTAAATAAAAACACTGGATTATAAAAAAGAACTTCTTTTATAACTCATACTCTCAAGTATAAGTCTTTTGGAGGTCTACTCTGATGAAATTCTCTATTGCTCAATGTCTGGTATATTAGTTTTCTATTGTTGCTATAACAAATTACCACAAACTTAGTATCTTAAAATAACACAATTTTAAAAATCTTAGAGTTCAAATGTTCTTCTGGGGTCAAAAGTCCTAAAATTATGGTGTCAACACAGCTTTGTGTGTTTTTTTTAATTATTATTATAATTTTTTTGAGGCTCTAGGGGGCAAGTGTGTTTCCCAGCTTTTTCCAGCTTTTAGAAATCATATCACTTGGCTCACAGCCCTGTCTTCTATCTTCAAAGACCATCACTCCAACTTCTGCATCCATTATTCCATCACCTTCTATATCGTTGACCTATTTGCTTCCCTTTTTATAAGAAAACTTGCAATTAAAATGGGCCCATCCAGATATTCCAGGATACTCTCTAGATCCTGAACTTAATATCAAGATCCTTAATTTAATCATATCTGCAAAATCCTATTTACCATGTACAGTAACATATTCAGAGTTCTGGGGATAAGGATGTGGACGTCCTGTCAGAGGTCATTATTCAGCCTACCATATGTGAACACTAAAAACTTCCCTTGTTATAAATGAGGCCATGATGTTGCATATTGCATTCATCAGCCATGATTATTTTTTTAGGATAAATTTCTAGTGCTGGAAAATATAAACCATGTGGTATTTACATTAAAAAAACGCAATTTTTTGATAAACAATGGCCAATTACCTTCGGGAAGTATTGCACCAAATTATACTATTGATAGTAGTGCATAGAGTAACTTTCCCTGTCCCTTGACCATAAGGGATATTATTATTTGTTAAAATTCCTTTACTATTTGATAAGAAAAAATATGCATTATTATTTTATTTTAGGCTAATTTGATGTTAATTATTTTGGTGACATCGAACATTTTAAAATATATTCACTGGTCATTTCTACATAAGAAAATAATTTAAATGGAAATTTTAGTCAAGGCTGTATTATTATAGGGGTTTACTTAGCTATATAGAAATTGCCTAGCATGTAAATGGAAATTGCAGCATCAGAAGGAAAGTATAGAATGCTTTTGAACCAAAGTTCATATTTTGCAATATTTAGGAGAGTGAGCTAATTGTTTATGTAGATGCATGAATGATACTGTTCAGGGAGGAACTGAATTCAGCTCAGTGTGTTTTGTGTAGAGTCATGTGCTTCATACTGGGATAGCCTGGTCATACCCAGATGTATCACTTGTTGCCGCTGCACTAGGCTGCAATCTTCTTTCCAAAGAAAACATTTTGTGATGTTTTTCCATTGTCAACAAATAAGAACTAGATATTTTATCTGAGAGCAATTATTACCTCATTATGATCATAAAAATATGAGTGACAGACTTTTTAGATAGATAAAAATTGAAAGGATATTTATAAATTGTTTTATTACACAATATTACATGCTTATTCAATAAAATTTAAATTCAAGTGAGCAAAAGAAAAAAAACTAGTGATGGTGAAGAAGGAGTATTACCGAAAGCCTTGTTATCTTTAGGATGGTTGGAAAGTCAGAGGCCTGGGGTGTTAGTAGCAAACACTTACTAATCTAGAATGATAAGACCTTAGATGTAATGGGTGAGGCTTTATAGGAGGCTAGATTTTTATATGCTATTAAGACTCTATCCTTCTCCTTCCAAATAATTCTTAACTTGTTGCCAAGTTAGGAAAAACAGACACAATGCAAGGCATTTGACCCTGCAGAAACCATGCTAAAATATTGCTTTCAGAGTTTTGAAAGACAATGATATCTTTTCTTTACATACCGAATCTTAATGGGGCTTTGCCTTCCTTGAAGAAGGTAAGTGTCAATGGTTTTCTTCCTTTAGATCTCGGGGAAGAGGCTGTTTTTAGCTGAGGGCTGCTGCTTTGCCTGTCACCGCAGTGCTGTGTAGGATGCCTGGTAGAGAAGGCAGCTGGAAAGGAGGAAGTCAGAAAGTGAATGCATGTAAAGAGAGAGCTCTGGAATAATAAGAGAATGTACTAGGACTCCCGCACTGGGCAAGTGCAGTTTTTCCAGGCACAGCAGACCAGGGTACCTCCTGGGAAATTTTATTTGTTTGATGTTCCAGGAAGATCAGAATTATTTGTACCATTTTAACGATATTGTAAGGATAAAAATATGTTTCCTTGTGCATAGTAATTAACAATAGTCTGCAGAATGGAATATTCCAGGACTTAGAGAATGTTAGGCATTTTATCAGCTACAGCCAGCAGATGGTGTTAGTGTACCATAAAAGGCAAATAAATTGGGCTTGGTGATGCTGGGAGGTTCAGTTTTGTTTTGCTTTGTTATTTAAGCTTGACAATACCCATCTATATATTCTGTGGGTGCAGTGTGTTTGATCCCAGTCTGATCTTAAACTTGTTTTATGATGATATCATTATTTTTTACTGCTGCAAATTAACTGTCGGTTTCAATCTACCCCATGTTTCAGCTGCCTTCAGGGATCATCTTGTCAGTTATGCAGCTTTCCAATTTTATGGCTGAGATCAAGAATGATTCCTTACAGGCACATAGGAAACACGATGTGTCTTTAGATTGAAATGTGAGAAAGTGGAGGTGAACTTTGCTACATGGCCAATACTGTAGGTATGCAGGAAAGATAATAGCAACAAAGGTCCCAGTTCAGTTGGAAATTTGAATGTCTTGACATTTACTCAGGTGCAATCATTTGTGGAAGTATTGATAGTGACTACTATCAATGGAGTGAGATGGAGTTAGATGACTTCCAATATTATCTTACAGAGTTATGTTCAAACATGTGAAAATGTAAAGAGGAACTATGGGCAATAACAATGCTTCCAGATCCATAGGAAATTCTTTCACTAGGACATAAAATACCATACATAGTCATTTATTCATTCTTCTTTACATCTAATGCTAATAGAGTTCCTACTAGGTGCCTGCTTTTGTTCCAGATGCTAGAAAGTCTTTTTGACCTTATCAGTCAGAAACTTGATTGCTCCTAACCTTTTCTTGAAGTGTAAGGGCAAAAAGAGATTAAGATCCTCTTTATAGAGTTGGTAAAGCACCACTGATTGATGGTAAACTTGAAGGAGAAAGGGGTCATATTCCAGCTTGTCCCAGTCAAAGATTTCCATCAGCAACATAGTCATAAATCTGTCACTGAATTCTACTACCAGTTAGCACACTGTCCAAGGATGTACTGAGAGACAGAAAGAAATCTCAAAAGCCAATAAAATAGGCCAGGCTGTTTTTCAAATGTTGAATGGAAAGAGTAAGCATGGATTCAAACTCCCTGCCAAATTATCTGGAGTGTACAAAATGTTCGTTCCTCTAGCTTCCTAAGTAGTGTTATACCTGCTCCTAGCATTTGCCAGTTTTTATCAGAATTAAATAATAATGGCTACCCTATAGCATGCTCAATATGGGCCAGGCCTCTTCCAGGTATTAATTCAGTCTTTATAATACTTATTCAAGATAGGCATTATTATACTCTTTTTACATATAAGATAAATAATGCTTAAAGAGGTCAATTAACTTGCCTGGTAAATAGCCTACCCGGGAATTTAAAAAAGATCTGTCTGTTCATTCTTTCCCCAATAAGCCATAACACCCTGTCTTTTGAAGCATCGTTTGCTATAACACTGTTTTATTGGCTACAAAAGGGATAAAGGCATCAATCTCAAGATTTTTGCCGAGAGCATGACAGATGTAAAGGTGTCAGGCAGAAGATATAATATTCAGGCCTCTGAGGGGTCCCATCGTATAGTCTGCAGAGCTTTGCAATGTCGGGAAACAAAATCAGCAGACATGTCCTGGAGGTTCAGCCAGCAGAAATGGGGTGGCTTGTTCTAAGCAAGGGCTTCAGAGCAGCAGACAGACTGTGGAGTTAAAGCCAGGTAAACAAAGCATAGTTAGAACTACCGCAGTAGGAAAGTCTTTGCTTGAATACAGGGAATAGAGGATTGATAGCACTGCATCCGTCTTTTCAGCTCCACTGTCAGGCAAGGATAACAACACGGCCAGCAGAAGCATTTGAAACTCAGGCAGCCACCGGTATTTATTTATAGAGAGAAAATGAGCAAGGTGGGATAAATGCACAGAAACCCTTTGAACACTAAACATAGTGCAAATGGGTTCACTATTGATTCTTAGCGGAAATGTTCATGTCTGCCTCATGAACAAATATTACTCCTGAGACCACCTTGAACAAAATATTTAGTCTGATCTCTCCAGACTGCATATACAAGCTCATTTCTCTCTTTATGTTTTAGGACTTTTCGCTGAGTTGTAGGCTCTGTGCAACAGTCCCAGAAGACTTTCACAAGAGAATTCAGACAAGAGAAAATAATCCTAGGTGATTGTGCAGGGGGTTTCCATTAAAAGGTATCACAGACATACTGAAGGAGAAGAATGAGAAATTATAGGAACTTAACATAAAGGAACAGAAAGGCATAAAATCAGCTGGTGTGGCAGACATTGGAATGACAGGAAGCAAACTTGTCAGACATTGACCAACTTGACTCCTTTTTCATATGCACATGATTGAATCTATTGTGACCTGGACACAGCTGAGTGTGGAGAACTACTTAAGGCAGTTTAAGAATCCATTAAAATCATTAAATTTCTTCTGAGCTAGCCAAAACAATCAAATTTATGTCCAAGTGGAAACTAGTTTAGCTGCCGATCTTACTTACCTTTCATAAGAATTGAAAGAAAAATCTTATGCAAGGTTCACTCACAAATGCCTTCTAATGGTTCTTCAAAAACATTCTAATCAGCCCCAGTCAAGAATGGCTTCATATTTATGATCCTGAAGGCAGTTTTCAAAATGTGTTGTGACTTCATTAGAATAGTCTGTGAACTCAGATTATCCATAGAATGGAATTGAGTCATCTGTAACCATAACATAAGTGACTTTAAAAAAAAAATCAAGCTGCATATTTATTTGATTGTTCAAAGTTCTCAGTGCATTATCTGGATTGCTTGTCCATTTCTGTCTGGGTTAGTGTCAGAAGTTTTCAATTGCAAGTCCCTCCAGGGCAGGGCTGATGTCATTTCCATCACTTTGGGAGCCCCAGGCTCCTCATCCAATAAGCATTTCTTGAGTGCCCATTATGAGACAGGAGTTCTCTTCAGGGGCACAGTGCTCTTCCATCTAGAGATGGCACTGAAGACATCTTTTTTTTTTTTTTTTCCTGCTGCATAAATAAATATAAATGCATGCAGAAAATTAAAGCGTTTTTTGTTTGTCTGTTTTTTGTCTTTGTTTTTGTTTTTGTTTTCTGCAAGTTGGTCTTTTCCTTCTCTTGATCTGTAGAGGGAAGGAGTAAAAAATCAGATATGTTGTTTTTTGAATTTTGAGTGTCCATTTCCAAGCTAAAGCTGATGATGTTGGTACAACTGGTTCAACCCTAAGTGACTTGCCATTGTGTGCTCTGTCTCAGACATTTGGTTGTCTTCTTTCTTTTTCTTTCTTTCTTTCTTTCTTTCTTTCTTTCTTTCTTTCTTTCTTTCTTTCTTTCTTTCTTTCTTTCTTTCTTTCTTTCTTTCTATCTTTTTATTTTTATTTTTTGCTTTTGCTTTAATCACCTCATAGACAGGAAATAAACACAAAGCATTATCTCAAAAACCATACCTACAAACTACTAAGGCTCTTTTATGCCTAGGGGCCACCTACCAACATCTGGGAGGCACTTTTGGTAGTTGAGCTGTCTTGAGCCTGTAAACCACATGATATTCGCAGCAGATCTAGGAAAACAGGAATCCAAATATATTGATTGATGTCTTTAGTTAGATTACCAAAGGTCTATCAATCTTGGGAGCCTCATATGTTCAAAATTCTGTCTTTGTGGAAATGTTGGTATGGCTGCATGGACATCTGGAATTTTTTCATTTTGATATAAAGCATTTATATTTGTAGAAACTATTGTCTTTTTACATTCTTTAATCACATATTCTGGATAATGTTGCCAAAGGTAGAAAATGAAATACAACTGTCCCTCTGTACCCATTGGTTCCAGGACTGCCCCCACCCCAACTCCATGGGGACTAAAATCTGAGGATGCTCAAATCCCTTATATAAAATGAAGTAGTATTTGCATATAACCTACCCATATCCTCTTATATACTTTAAATCATTTCTAGACTACTTATAATACCTAGTACAATCAGCCTTTGTAGTGACTGATAATTCTGTTCTCAGACTCATGATCTGCCACAAGCTCTTGGCCAAAAGCACCCATCACATTTCATGGCTGTGCTCCTCCTGCCATGTCAGAAAGGGCTAAGTTCAAATCATACCAGGTCCTGGGGAATGCACTCGTCAAGGAGGTGTTAAGGTTTACTACTTAGGCACATGGACTTTGGAGATAGATCACCCAGATTCAAATCCCAGCTTTGCTCATTATCACTATGTGGCCTTGAAAATTTTATTTAACCTTTAAAACTCTCTTTTTCATCTGTAGTTAGTGAATAATAGTAATAGCCAATATTTATTTAAACTGTTTCCAGTTTTGTTTTGTTTCCATGTGCTAGATTCTATGTTTAATGTTTAACATGTACTAACTCATTTAACCTTACAACAACCTGTGAGGTGGAAATTATTTCTATCACTATTTTATAAATGAAAAAAAAAAAAAGAAAAAAACAGAAATACATTTTTCTGGGAAACACGGCTAGTAAATGTTCTAGCTGGGCTTCATCCCACTTACTAGCTTGTGTTCTGGAAGTGATAACACTTCATACTAGCACTGGACTCTTGACAGTGCCTGGCACCTTTAAACATGAAATAAATGTCCATTAATTCTGTTAGCAAGGAGGCTATTCCTCTGGCTTTAGTGCTGTTGTCCACCTAGTTTGCATTTTGCTCAGTCGAATTTCTGTAGAGGTAACATTCTCTGTTATGAGACTGAGCTCAGGCTCATTAAGGAGGTAAATTTGTATCAGTGCTAATTTAGAAAGCCATTCCAATCTTAGACTCCAGTAGACACGGGAAAATTTTAGTAAGAAGTTTTTACTCCTCTCTTCTTTTCCACATTCCTCTCCTTCTCATTTTATGAATGTGTTCACTAATTCTCCCCAAGTAAATATACAAATTTAAAATAAAGTCATACTCTCTTGCACCAATAATAAAACTAAAAGGTTCCATTTATTTTCACAAATCAAAATTCTAATCCCAAGATGATATATCAACTTGATCTGAGTATGAACAAAACTGTACTGACCCCCCAGTATTCCCTCTAGAGAAGGTCAGGACACACTTGTGGCCACAAAAATGATCACTGAGCCCCAGTATAAATAGCAGTGAATTGGTCATGCTGACCGACAGCTTCTATAGCCCCTTGGCTAAAAGATGTTTGGAGAAGGGTCAATAAAAACTAATTATAACTTGAGGGTCTTGCCTTGATTATATGAGGCTAGGGTTAGAAGCCCTTGCAAGTTACAATTTTGCTTACTTTTGGGAAATAATTTTTTTTTTTTTAACAGATGTAGATAGAGCAGAGGAATAAGGGAGGAGGCCAGAGGGTGCCTCGTAATAGCTTACAGCTGTTCTTTAACCGGAAGTTAATCTGACTATCTTCTGGGTCTTGGCTTGTGATTTTTTGTCATTTCAGTAAGTGTTCTGCATCTTCCCTGTCACAGAAAATGTGGCTTTCCTTATCTGTAAGGTGTCTCAATTTAGTGGAAAATAGAATTGAGTCCACAGCCCACTCCCTGTTCCAGGAATGTTTTTCTGAAAATAGGAAATATATAATATGTAGGCAGGGTGGCTAGAATTAGGTTGGATCAGTATGAAACAGGGAGATTTGTTTGCTTCAGAAAAAAATCTCCCACTGCCTTGTCTGGCTGCAGAATCCAGGACAAATATCTGGACTCAGAGGTATAAAAATCAAATCATTCTTGGTGGATTATTATAATGATGACCCTCCCTATGGATTCCTACATGCCCTTTTAACAAAGCCTTTTCTGGCCTAACTGGCATTTCTATTTAAGGTTTTGAAACCATTATATCTAATGCCTTCTCTCCTTGATTAGGTCAAAGAGAAAAAAATGGACTTTCCAATGGAGATAGGCAAGTCTTTTCTTTCTTTTTGTTTTTATAGTGAACTCCAATAAAAAACTGTCTATTCTCTAGACATTCAGATGAAATTAATCACCTCAAAATGGGAAGGAAGAAAGTTGGAAGTGCAAAATTATATGGCTGAGGTTTCTTTCTTTTTTTTTTTTTTTGGCTTCAAAACACCTATCTGGGTGAAGACTACCAAATGTATTGCTATTCGGCCTTGAATTTCTTATTTTCTCTCTACCTGTTGGATAATAAAAGCTCAGATTTGTTCTGACTGTTTCAGTATACCACAAAGCAACAATGAAAACTCATGTCACTCCATCTCCAGCATAATGTCTGGCAGGAAAGAAGGGAAAATAACTCAAAGCATGTTTGGAATTTCTAGTACCCCTAACTGAGAAATGGGAAGGGTCACAAACCACAGCAGAGTGTACATTCTTACTTGGTGAAGGATCTCTGTGTAACAGGACTGACGGAATGCCAAAACTTTTACCTAGGAAGGAGACTTCTTTCTACTCCCCCAAATCTCTCAATCGAAAACTTCATTCTTCCATTAAAAAAGAATTGTACTTTGTGATTTATAAATTTTATTCACTTTTTCTTCGAGTTGAATGTTAAGGTTCTGCCTTGTGCCCTTAACTTAATGGATATTCTCAAAACTGGCAGCTTTTCTTTCATGCGGGAAGAAGGAATAATTCTGAATTAAGAGCACCAAAATAGGTTAAGGGTACATTATGTCAGAGGCTGTGGACTGTTAACAAGCAAAGGAAGCACAAGTCATAGGGTATAATACAATTAAAGCCAACTGGGTAGGACTGCCAGCCATTGCAATCCCCATCACTTCCCCTGCTGATGCCAGAGGTGATCCTTTCCAGTCTGTCTAAAATTTGACAGAGCCCTATGTATTTTTCTAATTTCTGAGTGAATCACAATTAGCGAGCCTAATAGATGCTATGGGTGCTCTGCCTGGATCCCTTCATCAAACCCATGCACCCTTCCTTAACTGCTGTGAGTATTGGTTGCTAATAATCCACAACTGCCATCCCCTGCACTCCTTCCAGAGAATAGCTGATGGCAGCTGTCTTCCTACAGCTCATAAGCCTACTACTAAGATCAGGCAGTGATTGATGGATGTGGGGTACAAATGGCTGGACCCTCACATCAAAGGAGAGGGTCATAATTAATTTTGTAGTGTAATCCCATGGATCAGGTCAAGACCAACCTGTATAAGGGATCACATCCTTGCTCAGCCCTTTCCTTTTCCCCATCCTGCTTGTCATATCTCTCCTGAGGAGCTTTCCCTGAAGAGCATCCTTTCAGTCAACTTTACACAGCAGAACTACTGTCTTAGGCTTTAATTCCAAGAGTGTTTAGGCCTATGACGGTGAGTTTGCCCATATATTTTAACTTATTTTGTCCTGATAAATTAAACAACGCAATATCATTGTAACCAGAATTTCACTGGAAAACAGTAAATTATTCTCTCAAAATCATTGAAGTCTGTTCCATTGACCCTTAATAAGTTTTATAACAGAAGCAGAAAAATTCTTTCAGTTCAGTAGTGTTCTCTAAGCAGCCTTTCTCCATCAACTTACACAGAAGAAGCATGGTTGGCAAAGCTTCAAAGACACAGAGATTGGAAATTTGAATTCAATGACTGATTTCTACTCCCTTCCTTCCAATTTTAGGTAGTTTGTCTAGTATTATATCTATTTATAGCACTCTTTCTAAAAGCTTGGCTTTTCAAGTTAGAATGATGTCCTGCC